CCGTGCTTAGCTTGTGCTTTTGTTTCAGTCAGTTTTGCCACCTTTTGGGGGATATTCCTAGTTCCCGTTGCTCCGGAAAAGTTTTCGGGCGCACAGTCGAACAACCCTGGGTCCCTGACTGGAAAGTGATTGAGGAGGACAACCCAAGAGAGGAGACACGGAAGCAATAGAGACGAAATGGATCGCAACTTCACGAGGCAGGAATAAAAAGTGTGGCCAGAAGTTGGAACGAAGGTATAAAAATGAACGTGTCAAATATTAAAACTCGGAGCTTTTTTCCGCGGGTTCGGAGCTCCGACCGTGGTCGTCTGAGAGAGGATGAAATTGCGGGGAATTCAATCCAAGATCGTTTCGAAAATGCCGGAAAATGAAGGTGAGCGTATTTTTCGCCTAATGAGGCTTGTGGTAAGGGTCCGTGTCTGAGCCTTTTTTTTTATCGAATCATGAAGCGCAAATAATGCGTTTACATTAGTCCGAGGTTCTTGGCTTTGAATCCCAGCGTTCCCGCGCCTTGATTCCCTTGATTTGGCATATTTAGCTCTTTTTCCGAACCGCATACCACAATTCTGCGAATGAAATGATTGCAGTTTTATATGTTTACTTAAAAAATATCGTCTCGGATGATCCTTTAAGTTGGATGAAGGGGATTTTACGCTGAACAGTTCTTATTTTACAGTTGGAGAATGATTTTGTGGTTAAAGCAGCAAGTCCAGTAATTGTGCGCTCTGTGTTGGACATTGAGAGTACTTTAAATCTGGAAAAATTTAAGAGAGGAGAGGAGGGCAACCCGAATGACGGGTATATTATTAGGAGACATAGGGAAAAATCCTCTATCAAAAAGCGGGAAGAATTAAAACATTCAGAAAAGGCAGCGGCTGTGAAAGATCGCTCCGCACAGAATATTGACGACTGAGGAGGTAAAATAAGTTTCTGTTGCTATATTCAAAAGCCACCAATAAGTTCTTTTCTTTTAACAAAAATATTTTTTTTGAAATTCTTTGTGAATATTTTTGAAAGAGTAAAAAACATCCAAAAATTTCACGAAAAAATGTCGGTTAGTTTTCTTCTTACATGCAGAAATAAATAATTGAACATGCGCATGTTCTTGAAAAGCCGCGAACGGGGTCACCCATCTTTTGTCTGTAACCTTGTGCATACTAGTTCCTTGTGAACAGAAGGGGCCAGTGCCAGATTTAGGGGGTGGCCACATATGGGTCGCAGCCCATGGCGGCAAATTTTGCAATTTTTCGAAATGTAGGTATAAAAAAAATCGGATTTAGAAAAAAATCACAAACGAGGCGACAAAATCTCTTAGTTTCTGAGAGTATAGTAATTTCTAATTTTGTCGTCTTTCGGTGATACAAGAGACAGCACTTTTAATTAGTCGAGTTAAGAGAGAAAACAAACACACAATTTGGCTTGAAGCGGCGCGGCACAGGGAGCATTGATGACGAGGACTTGAAATGAAAAGGAGAAACCCTCGGCGCGACGGTCGGCATGTAACACATATTCGCGCCTACAAGACTGCATGAATACTTCGTGCATTGCGTCAAAAACAGTGCGGTCAGTAGCGGTCGGCGTGAAACGCATAGCGTCTACAAGACTGTACGAATACTTCACGCATTGCGCCAAACACAGCAGTCAGCGCGGCGCGGCGGCGGAAGTTAAAATTATTATACCTCATTTATGCTTGTTCTTTCATAATTTTTTCGTTCATTTGTTATAAATGGAAGGCCTTTTCACACAGAGTTAGGTTTACGGAACTTAACTTTCGCGCAAAATTCCGTGAACTTTTGCTAATAGTGTTGACAGGGCTTTCGCAACAAATATGTTCAACATGAGTATACACATCTTATGCACCCCTCCCCCTCGGGCACGTTCACTTGATGGTTTTTATTGATGTTTCGAAACGAATGAGAAGGGGGCGGCAAAATACAGGCGGCCCATGGGCGGCAAGTATAGGTAATTCCAGCCCTAAGAGGGGCTGCGTCGTATATTATCTTACGAACTTTTTGCAGCACCAATTCAGTACTCCAATTATATTTTTCTTCAGAAAAGGCCTTAAAAATGGACTCGCGGAAAATGCAGTTTTCTTGTAAGAAAAGGAAGAGTTTTTCAAAATCCCTGGTCTTTTAGATAATATTACTTTATTTCTTAATGGATTTGTATAAGTTTATTTTTATATAGAAAGATGCACGAGGATATAGTTTTTTAATAGTTAGGATATTTTTAAATAAAATTTGTTTAAACAAAAGAAAAATGCAGCAGGTGCCATAGGACACTGATTCCAAAGAACTCGATTCTTTAAAAGGGGTCCTATGAAGTAATCTCTGTAATAAATCGTGTCCTACACGGAGAATGAGCTTAGCTGTGAAAAGTTGTAACAATTTACGTCGTTCAAGGAGGCATGAACATCTCCTCGGCACCGTTTTCTCGACGTGTGTAATTCCCTCTCGAATTCGAGCACACCTCGAATTCTAAACTTAGTCTTAATTAGCGAACTTTTGTTCCTTGCCTATTAAATTCAATTTACAAAACTTATTTAGCCATTAACTCAGCGGATCTTCCTCCTCTCCCTTCTCCTCCGGACGAGAACTTTTTAAGAAATCCTCTTTCGAATTAGAATCACAATTCTCGAGATCTCAACTGGAATCTCTCAATTTCGAAATAAGAGCTGTTTTAAAAATAAAATGAAATAGACCATGCAGTTTATGAAACTTAAACGAAAATATGTTCATTCTTGTTTCTCTGATACTCTCCACCTTTCTGTCGCCGTAAGGAAGAACGCCGTATGAGCCTTTAAGCGTTGACATTTTGCCTTCAGTAAAATAATAATTTACGGGGAAAATGTTGAATAATAATCCTCCAATAGTTGTGATAATTTAATCTAAAACATTAGGAAATTTCAAGGAGAAGTATGCATAACATTCCGCAAAAACGACCATTTTATGGAAGGAAATTTTACAACTCTCAAATGTTCATACGGCGTTCTTCCTTAGCACGGCAGCTTTAACATCCATATTTTAATATCACGCTGTTTTTGATTTGCTGAGATTGAATTTCTTGACATCAGATAGCAATGCAATTTCAATTCAATTCACCAAACCGATCAGTCTCATCCCTAATAACCAGATATATTTGTCTGTCAATTCGAAATATGTACCTATCTTGCGTTTTTTGAGCTCTTATTGAGTTCCGCATTAAGGTTCAGCAAATGTCTCCTATGTAATAATTAACTTTTTTTCCGTTCATACGGACGTAACCAAGCAAAACAGATGTAATTATAATGTGCAATATTTCAAATAAAAATTCCGTCCTTCATATTTTTTATTCTTTTAACGGAAACTACTATTTTGTATAAACTTCAGGGAATGTCTTAGTTGAGATTACTAAGTTGCACTAATTTTGACTGGCAGCCAGCAAAATAGACCTTTTTAAATACAAGGTTTAGCAGGAAACTCTTGAACGTTGCAATTCAGTCCGCGCCTCTAGCTTGCGTTAGTTCATTAAAACTATGAAAAAACGAATCTCCTTCGTCCGATATTGCCAGAATTATGTACAAAGTATTTGAAATAACCGCTCAACGAAGTAATCTCTAAAGACGAACAACAATAAATTATGAATGCGAAATTCTGTTCGCCAATTCACAGAAAAGGAGCAAAACTCTCAGTGAAGGCTGTGACACCCTCATTCACTGGCAAGACCACAATTCGCTGATTGGACTTTAATATTTAGGGGCTCAAACGCGAGAGCCATAATGCGCCGCTCTTGGACCACAATATGAAAATGGCGAGCAAGCGGCAAACTTTATGGAAACAGGAGCAAGAACCTGCTGCTGCCAATTCTCACGCGAATATTATGATTTTTGGTGTTGTAGTCATATTTGATTCGAACTCCTTCTACTTCTCCTCCCTTATTGCAGTAGAATTTGGCAGGACATTTTCGACGGTGTAAGTCGGCAATCACATAACTCGGTTTGCGACGTCGCACACTTCCTGTCATACTTTATTTTTTAAACGGAAAACTACTCAACGACAATTCCTTAAAACTGCCGTGATTTTTCTTCTCTGTGCGAAGAAAATTCTAAAAAAAACTTCAAGGAATGATGTCAATTTGTTCTCCTTTAAAAAAATAACATATAGGCGGAGATTTTCAGACATCGCAAACGAGATATGTGATTGCCGACTTACACCGTCAATTTGCAATATCGCACACCGAAGTGTGTAGTGCATCTGACTACACACAACTGAAGATTTAATGGTGAGGTGAGCAAGAGAGAAGAATACAAGAAACTGGCCTTCACTCACTGCAAGAGCTGATTTTGTCACATTAGTCGTTGCAAATGCTGCAAGTTTAATGTTTTAGTTCTTTTTTAATGTTACTTTATTTTCATGGTAGTTCAAAGATTCTCGGACGTTTCACCTAAGAGGAATTTTGTCTAGGTACTTTTTGCCTTATACTTTGCACCAAGAGTATTTACATAAATGCTACTAAAAATGATTTCACCTAAGAAAACATTCTCGTCTAATTCGTCCTAAAATTGTTTTCACTCGATGCACTAAAAGAGATTAGAACATAAAGACATTTCCTCGGGAGCTGTGACCTTTACAGCTCTACAGTTGTAGATTTTGAAATTGTGACGAATTGTCCGTAGATAGTCTGAAGTCTCCTTGTTTTCTTTTTAGGTCCCTAAGTGGAAACGTCAGCGAGTGATTTCTTCAGAGTTTTACATTGGATTAAAAAAACTTCGATGAAAATATTTTTTCAATCTTTAGATGATGGATTTTTTGGCGCGTATACGTAGTATACCGCCTTTGCGATCGTTTCGACCCCCCCCTCGATACAATAACCGAGTCCCCTAGTTCCTTACCGNTTTTTTTTTTTTTTTTTTTTTTTTTTTTTTTTTTTTTTTTTTTTTAATATGCAATTTTTCGGGAGAGACGTTCGGAACCTACCGAAAAGAATAGACACTTACAAAATAAGAATAGACTGTATCTTACCTGGAAATAATATCTGCAAAAGCGCCACGAGAAACAAACTGCCGACAGCCATTTGCTCCGTAACGCTTACATACGCCGCGAAATTTTCGTAACACTTTCCTCTGCACGCACTTTGAACGGCGGGGACCGACAGTAACCAATCATACTTCTCGCGAGTTTTTCCCGGCTCTTCGAGTGAGCTTCCACTTTCTGCGAAAAAAATCCGATGAACAGCTTCAAAATACTGAATTATACACCGAGGCTTCCGTTCACAATGTTTTTAAATAAGTTTTAACCTGAGCGGGCAAACAGTCTAATGTTTTATTCAACGAACCCCTTCACACTGCCACGATACTGGTTGTTCGCTGAAATCGATTCTCCTCTCCTTTTTTCGGTGCGGCTATATCATCTGGAAACAAAAGAAAAAAGGTCGGGGTCACTATAAACACTTTGTTGAATCCGAGACGCTTTTGGCCCGATCAAAATGATGGCATGGAGTATTAGCCATTCATATTCAATGAAAAACGTGGTGGTTGTGGTAATGTGGTACGGTCCACTGCGATTTTAAAAAATCCAGGTTAGGATTTTTTATCAACTCTCACGAAGTGATTATTAAAATTCTGTGTGTCTGTCGGACATGGCAAGACTAAGGTGGAATGAAGCTCTCTGATTGGTCGGTCACCTCATTCGTTTTCCATGCTTTGCCTTCATTGGACCGAATAATTGACCAACCTAATACACCTCCGTATTCAACCCCTTATCATCTAAACCTTAACCGGTCGATTATCCGGTCCAAAAAAGGTACAGTAAAGAAAAAATCTCTACTTAAACGATCAAAAGGGAGAGTGAAAGTGATCGGTGCTCTACGGCCTTATATTTTTCAGGAAAAATATGCTGATAGTTGCTTTTGGAGTCGTTCATCAAAAGTTAGCGACCCGCTGACTTTTGAAGGTCAGAAGCCAAAATCTCCACCGATGCCACCTTGACGCCATACTTTGATCTAGTAAAAGCGCTAATGAGCGAAACACCCAAGCAGCCGATCACCACCCATTAGTCTAGTCTTGCTCAGCAGGCAAGTGCAAAATTCAACAAAGCGAAGGGCCGTTTGTCAATAATGAAGACGGACCTTTGACTAAGTTGCGATTAGTAGTAGTTTATTTCATCAGCAAACTAGGCAACGCTAGCATTAAGTTCAAATCTACGAAAAACAGGCATAGAGCCATCAGTTCTGCCGTGATAGCGAAGAGAGCCGTAAGTGCAAAATTTTCGAAATCGAATTTTCTTCAAAATTCGTCTAAACTCTTTTAGATGAAACTACTGAGACAGCTAAAACAGTATTAATTATTCATCCTAATTTAATGAAAACAAGACGTATTCGAAAGCCGTAAGTGCATAAAAAATGACATAGTTTTTTTCAAGACAGCCGCAGGTGCATGAGAGCCAATGAAAACAGTGCTTTCCAGTAAGGTGCCGCCTTCTTCTGCCAATTTCTAACCTGAAAATGTGTTTGTTGTGCTTCCAAGACGCAACCACGAAAGCATGCAGAAGATAGCACTTACGGCTGTCTTGCCTAACAATAACCTAGCATGAAAATGAAAAATATCCTTTTTATGTAATGGAAATAAAATCAGTCGATTTTTAATCATCCATACGATTTCTGGGAGTCCTCCGGACGATTAGTGGCAATTTGACAAAGAACGGAGGCTTCTTTCAATGAAATGTTCTTGTTGGAAGCTTTTGAGCCCGTTTTCTCAAAACTTCATTTTCGCACCTACGGCTCTCTTCGCTATCACGGCAGAGTTAGTATATCGACGGTGAAACTACCAAACCACGTATCTCGTTTGCGGTGTTTAAAAATCTCCGCTCACATTTTATTTTTTTGAAGTAGACCAAATCAATATCGTTCCTTGAAATTTTCACAGAATTTTCTCCGCACGTAGAGGAAAAATCACGGAAATTTTCAAGACAGGACGTTAAGTAGCTTTTCATTTAAAAAATAAAGTATGACAGGAAGTCTGCGACGTCGCAAACCGAGATACGTGGTTTGGTAGTTTCACCGTCGATATATAGCTTGCAACGAACTCAGATCAAATTTCTTTATAACCCCTGCATGCAACTATTCAAGCTCTACGGATGGCCAAGTTGCATATGCGCGGTAGTGAAGGCGTTTTGAATCTTCCGGTACTCGCGCTTCATCCGCGGCGCGGCCCGAGTTAATTCATTTTGACGCGACTTTTGGATTTCCACTCAGAAAAGGTTGCTTGAAGGTCTAACATTGAAAAATATTCCAAAACATTCAAAATCTGATGACGTCTACTGTTGCCGACTTTGTTATTAGTGGTTTTCACGTGTTTTAATAGAAACATCGGGGTTTTTGCCGATTCTCTTCCACAAAAAAAGTATTGATTCGCGATACAAGTCTTTTTGCGGATCAAAGAAGTTATCTTGATAGTTCTTAACCTCATGTGATCCACATACCTCAAACATTTTAACTCCTGACTTATAGCGTTGCCAATTTTACCTGACTTGCCAGGTAACTTTATTTTTTCCTTTTTATCTGCTTCCCTTTACTGACGACGTCATCAAAATGCACAGCTAAAAAAGTTCAAAAAGTTTCACTTTCAAAAAGTTTTGAAACAATTACCAACCCGAAAAATACCAATGCCGGTGCTCATTGCAATTCCATACTTTTTTATAAGCCCCCTGCTATCTAATTAAAAAGCCACATGCCTCTGTTGTGCCTCTGCATGACTGCATAGTTTTTACGAGTTTTTTTGTGCGTCGAACTACACGTTCACGGAATATACAACTTAGTGCTGAGCCCTAACTTTTTAGATCAAATGGATCCAGCTTATATGGCAGTAGTGCTGAGCCCTACAACTTTAGGATCCAGCCCCACAGATTGATATTATCAGCAGTACTGCCTGTTACCTGGCTTCATTTGATCTAAACATTTAGGGCTCGGCACAAAGTTGTTTTTTCCGTGTTTGCACCGAAAAAAAGTTATGTTAGTTTAACATCCTGGATGTAAAAAATGTGTGCGAGACTTTACAAAATGCTCAATTACCCGCCACAGCTAGCAGTTAGTTTTACATCTTCACATCGCTAAAGTAACTGCCGCAGCGGATAATTCAGCATTTTGAAAGTTCTTGCACACTTTTTTTACATCCAGGATGTTAAATCAACATCACTTTTTTTCGGTGTGGTATTGCAAATCTCTCCACTCCCGAGACGTTTTAGAGCAGAGCCCAAGTAGCATTTTTCAATGTAAAAGTTGCAACAAGTTGAAACAATGTTGGCATTAGTTACAACAAAGTTTCAACTTTCGGTCAACTTTTGGTCGATAAGTGCCGATTTTCGGCGATCTGATCGGAAGACAAAGTTGCAACCTGCTGAGATCGCAAAATTGCAGAACCAAAGTTGTTTAAAATCTAAAGATAGGCAACCAGCAATACTTTGAAGTTGAAACATGTTTCAACTTAATTGCAACTAGTTCCAACAATGATAGCTCCTTCGGTGGAGAGAGTAGGCAATCTGCACATCAATCTATTAGTTGCAAGAATCAAACGATTATGTTGCAAGTTGTTGCAACCTCTGCTACTTGGGAGGATGGGTAAACCATAACAATTGAGGAAAAATCTATGAGACACTCTAAAGACACTAGAGAATTGTGAGGTGACTGAGAATTTCAATTGAAATAGTATCCTCATCCTCATCAAAATCAGTGCTCCGGTACGCGAGTGTTGTTTCGGGGACGAAATTGATGGAATTTATCAAAAAGGTCGGTGTTGGCGGTTACGAAAAGTTCATTCACTCGCAACCGAATACCCGTCTGGGGTCCCTGCTGCACACGGCTGTTTGCTCACTGTCAAAACTTATAAAAGAAGTTACACGTGAATCTGGAACTTATAGAATTAGCAAGTTGCTCCAGCAAACAAGAACTCAGCGTGCCCTCAGAGTAAAGCAGGCTTATTTGGATCAGAGTTGGCTGGAATATAAAATGCTCATGCCGGGACTAAGACAACCTACTTTCCATTACCGGACAGAAAGGAACTTCAAACAAAAGGATGCCTCTCATTAGTGAAATAAGTACCTTCGGGCAGCGACTTCGACTTCCCTTTTCTACATTCTACCAGAATTACCTTTAAATCCCTTCCATATGTAAATTTTAAAGATTTATAGGGTGCAAAATTTGTATCCACTAATCCGTCCGCTAATCTCGTTTTTGCTCCTTATCATTCAATTCACGAACTAATGTAGAACCCACTCTTGTCAGATTGCTTTTTTTCTTTTTTTTAAAAAAAAAAAAAAAAATTCAGTCGATTGAGAAAATGTAAAGAAACATAGAAAAAAGAGAAGCGTGAGCTCTCCTCGTATTTCTTTTGATAGGCAGTCTGTTTCCTTCAAAGCAACAACACCGAGGGTTAAAACAGCTTTGCAATTTTTTAAGCCCAATTAGCTTGAAAACTTGTATACTTTGACGTAAACAAGTCCGGAACTATTTGCTTTGGCCCCTGCTCTGCCTTTGCGCCATCATTATTCACATTTTCTTTGATATTATTTTATTTTCAAGAGCGAGTGAGGATTTTTGAGACTTCTCTCGTTCACGCAAGTCTTTAACAGGGACCGTAAATACGGTGGAGATTTCAAATAAGTTTTGAGCGTATTCTTAAATCGGTCGTGTTTGTGCTGGTGTATAGGATAAGAGCACCTTAGTAAAAGCTAATGAGCTGTGTATGTTCATCTGTTAGTAAATGGGAAAGGAACAAATAGTAAGTTTCTCTTTAAACATATCGTGTAATCCAGTTTTTTGGGGAGTTTCCTTGATTTTCGAGTAATCTTTCAAGACGCCACCGCTTACATCAGTGGCTGAACTGGACCTATATCCAACCTCTATCGCTTCACCTTACTTTATTTGCATATTTTGGGAGTTTATTTAAGTACAATTACTATTAATTGCGTATGCACGTTCCTGCAAAACTTCTATTTTATTGCACACTTCTATAAAAATGCCCATTCCAAAATGCAACGCACTAGAGCTTGCTTATCCCTCGACGCTATTTTAAACCTCATGAAAAGATGCTCACAAATATCTGGGATAAAATTACGGCGATAATGAAATGTTTTGTTTCGATTTTGGTGCAACGCGCTAAAATGTATTATCAGAAGAATAGTTTCATGATTTCAGGGAAAAATCCTGATTCCTGCATGCTATTTTGTATACTTAGGAACGATTACTCTTTAAATTTGACAACAATGGCTTTTATTTCCGCGTCTGAATACCTTGGTGCAGGCATTTTGCCAATAAGCTCCGGAAGTTTGCAAAAAGATAAATAAAAACACGCCAATTGGAACAATTTTCCTTTATTGCATGCCTTTCGGCTCGTATGTATTCAGAAACCGACGGAATGCATGCTCTTCGTGAACGCGACGGGGAAAAAACGCCCAAGAATTTATGCACGAAGTCGGCAGAATACAAATTCCCGATGAAAGCGGGAGACACTTTCCAAGCTTCAGAAACAAAAGCAACTCAAATCCTCTCCGAATGCATTTATATGTTCTGCACATCAATAAACGGGCGATGTTGATGGGGCGTTAGCTCCTTGACCCACGTTCCAGGGATTTTTACTTTATTCGTCGACTATTAAAGTTATCAAATTTTTCCCAGCTCAAAAATTACGAAACAAAAGCACGTAACCATCGGAATCTCAGTAAACAACTCTGTGCAGCGATTAAGATATTTTTAATGTCAATTTCTTTGATGTAAATATGTGCGTAAAAATGAAAACAACTCATCAAGAAGAGAAGTGGCATATGCACCAATTAGTTTCTTTTAACCTGCGATCTAAGGAATAGCAAACAGGCTCGAGTGTCATGTGGTAAAATTTCGTTTAGTTATAGTGATGTGGGAGTATTTCCTCCTCTCAAATAGATGCAAATGTGGGCTCTGGTAAAAAAAAATTGTCCATTTCAGCACCTTGAACAATTATATTAACTATTACTAGGCAGAAGTTAAAGATACTTTATGAGTTTTTTATACCTAGGCTATCCTGGACGTCATTAAATTTGAAAGATTTTAAAATGTTTGCAGATTGCGCTCCTCGTAATAACTACTTTAAAGGATCTTGGAAAAAATAAATGTACTACTTTAAGTCGTCAAAAATGAATACATGTGGCTCATTCCAAATATTCACAGACTTACTTTTTTTCTTGGAAACTTTAGTGAGGTACACAGGATTTGATTAATGTGGTATAGTCGTCAATGATAGATAAAGAAAGGAAGTGAAAAGATGCATATGATGCATTTTGCAAGCATTATCAATAATCGTCAATTGCTATCTATAAAGTTGCTCTTAAATGTATTTAATAACCACACGATATCGCTTTTCCAAACAAGTGTAAAGAAGTCAGTAAAATCCCGTCTTAAGCAAGAAAACTTATTTGTAAAGAAGTATTATATTTGTGAGGAATATAAAGGGTTGTATGTCTGTATAAATCATGTAAAATTTAGAAAATCACCTATGATTACAAATGTCAAACATGTTTTCGAGGAATTTAAAAACACAGCCAAGCCGGTTCTCATTAGACGGCGAAAATCTAAAATCCTTTATCACACATTGAAATCCAAAGAGCCGTAAAGTTAAATAAAATCTCAAACCGAATGCCTACCTGTACATCATTCTCTTCCTGATCTCTGACGTGACCGTTAGTCATAATCTCGAGGACACCTAAGTTCATTACAAAAACAACACTACCATTAATGAGCTAGTATTGAGAAAACTATCAGATTTCACTCTTCAGAAACATTAACTCCCGAACTAAAGTAACGAAAACTCCGAGTCACGCACTTGAAACTGAAATATTCTATTACGTCACAACCAGTTTCTGGTAATCCATTGGCAAATGTGAAAAAATGTGTAGGTAATGAAAATAACGCTATTTCCAAAATACGGTAATCACTAGCTGCCTTCTCACGCACAACAAGCTGTAGTCAGCCGGTTAAATCTGTGCATATTGTCAAAATGTATACTGGTATATGAAATTAAATAAATGCCAAAATTGCAAAATCCGGATCCACGAGTTCGCGCGAGAATTCGCCGGGTTCGCTCTGAAAATCGTAACGCCCCTTCCGAGTGCCCGTCGCGAAACACACTGAAGTTGGCTCGGGACACGGCTCTTTTCCCTCGCAAAGGCCCCGCAAAAGCGCTCTCTAGCGGCTACCGAGGAAGCTGCGGCGCTCCCTCGCCGATTCCTATTAATTTCTAAATTTTATTTCACTCCCCGCTTTTTATTATTTATAAATAAACTTTCTGCTTTGTGTGTGTTTTGCATTTGAATAATGGGCTTTTAGCGCCTTTACGCTCGTGCCGGGAGGCGCGAAAAAACACAGTGTGTTCCATACCCCCGTGAATTCCCTTCCTGAGGTCCTCGAGGCGGGCAATATGCGGGTTCCGTGATATCTTTTTCGCCGATGTAAACACGTTCCGGCGACTGTACGGCCTTCTGCTTTTCATCCCTCGTTACGCCCGTAAATTAACTTGATACCTCCAGCATAGCGTAAACCCTCCGGGCGGACTTTCTCTGAATGTCTCCCCTAACCGTGAAGGAAGGGCGGTCTGAAGTTGACTACCCGTGGAAAAAGAACTTTGACAGTATCTTCATAAGATTTAAGTATCAATTAAAGTATGAGATGAATTTCAGAACAACTTTCTTGGTCAGCACAGTAAACAGTGTTCATCGGAAGAAGACCGGATTTTCTAAGAAATGTTCTAAACCACACGGATAAATACACCTGGTGAAGGAGGCTGGGCCGTCCGCCTGTAACCGCTTCCTGAGAAATCCTGGAGGTGAGCTTCCAAAAGCACAAATGTCCAAAAGCGTACAATACATGTAATTGCGCTTTTGGGGTGAGTCTTGGCGCTTCCCATTTGCGCTTTTGGACTAACTGCACATTTGCGCTTCTCGGGATAGCGCTTTTGGACATTTGCGCTTTCGGGTAGTGTCCACCCAGGAGACGGTACATTCTTATGCTGTCAATCATTTAGGTATCTGGTAAATTTTCAAGGAATCTATCTGCTCACAAAAAATATTTGAAACGATCATTTTGCAAATTAATAATTCTCTTTACTTTAGCAAATTGCTTTACTTAATGAATGATTTTGAATTCTCTCTTTCTCCATCCTGAAATTTTTTTCTTATTTCGATATGATAAAGTTCTTACGAGATATAAAAGAAAAAGAAATAGAATTTAACCTCAGAACTTACCAACTCTTCTTTGTATTTTTATTTACAGAGTGAATTATTTCGTTTGCTTGGACGGCGTTTTCGAAATGTGAGCTAAAAACTCGTTCAAACGTTTTTTAGTATAATATTTGAAAGGAAAAGTAGATTACTGAGACTTACAGGAGCAGTAGATTACCAAAGGAATTTTTCTAGAAGAAGACGAAAAAACCCCATTAAAATGCGATAAAATTGAAAGGCAAAAAATGAAAAGATACCCTCCCAAGAAAAATTAATTACAATTACAGCGTCAAGCGTTACTTTTCACGGCTCAGGACCTCATCCCCCTCCTCGTAACGCACCTATAACGGCGGCTTTGATCCCCCATCTCCCAGAGCGTCACGTATATTATGAACGGCCCCGTGCCGAAATACAGCATCTCTCCTGTTCCTACACGTAGATCTTCGGATAATGAAAATAGACTCCGGGGGAAAGGAATTTTTCTCGACTTGCATAGGCGCCCGTTTTGCCGAGTGCGCGCATATCTTAATTTCAGGCTAGGTTCAGGAAGGAGAATATCTCATTTTGAAGAAACTGTTTCCTGCGGGATGACATGACAGATAATTTACTTGATAAATTGACGGGAGTCGCTTCCCTTGCCGGCTCTCATTGTTCCGGTCTGAAACACCTCCCCAGCAGCGGGCTCGCACCTCGCGTGCCCGCACCCACCTTCGCCCCCCTCTCCCCTCCCCCTCCCTCCCACGGCCCCCGGCTCTGATGCGTTACCCGAATTCGAACCCATCCAACCCGCGGCTCCGCGGCGCCCTGATTAACTTCGCCTTTATTCATGCGAGTGTCAAAAAATGCCCCGACCGGTAATGAATCAGCCTCCCGAACAACATATGCTGCCGTGCTAAGGAAAAACGCCGTATGAACATTCGAGAGTTGCCAAATTCGCTTCGATAAAATATATATTTTTGAGGAAAGCTATGAATATTTTTCCTTTACATTTTCAAAATCTTTAGGTGAATTACTAAATAAAAAAAGGGCTTATGTCCAGAAAACCAAATTGTTCAGGAGACACAAAAAATTATTTATTTCGTGGTAGATATTTTTTGGAAAGTCGTTAAGAAAGTTTAAAAAAAACCGGCACTCCGCTTCACCCCGCGCTGGTTTTTTTAAACATAACGACTTTTCAAAAAATATCTACCACGAAATAAACAGTTTTTTGTGTCTCCTGAACAATTAGGTTTTCTGGACATGTGCCCTTTTCGTATTTAGTGATTCAGGTGAAAGTGCGAACGAACGTATCTGAAAAATTAGGAGGAAACTATTTATAAGTTTACCGAGAAATTCACGTTTTATCGAAGTAAATTTGGCAACGCCTGAAGGTTCATACGGTGTTTTTCCTTCGTACGGTAGTATGGGATAGCCTCGCCGAAACAGAGCCCGTCCCGTCTCCCGAAATTCAAAATTGACGAACGCACCTCGCGCCCGACGCGACTCTAAGTTTCCGGAGAAAACCTGAAGTTGCCGAGAATGGGGTTCCGAGTTTCCTGGGAAAATTTAGTGCTGGGTTCGGGAATGGGAAAGCTCCCGGGAATCTTCCCAGCAACTTCACTGAAAAAAAAAAATCTCGGTGTATTTACTAAGAAAAGGGTAAAATTACCAAGAATTCAGGGTTCTATTTGATCCCAGTTTTTTCTTGGTAAAATTATCATTTATGGAATTGGTAATTTTACCGAGAAATCTCGGTAAAATTATTGAACTTTCTCGGTAATTTTACTGGACCTTGGTAAAAACGCCAATATTTTTCATCGACTGTGGTAGAATTACCGAGTTAAAATGGCAAAGTTACCGGGAATTGATTACCAATAAAAGTGGTATTCTTACCTGAAAAAAACAGTAAAAATACCGGTTTTTAGGTAAGCTTACCAGTCTACCTTGGTAAAATTACCACTAATCAGTAAGAAAAGTGAGATGGTAAAGGTACCAACGGACCGTGGTAAAAACGCCGAGAATTTTTTTTCAGTGTGCAAAAATTCCCGGGAACGTTCCTGTGGATCTTCAAATTGCCAGGTGTACACGTGTGCCTGTGCATGTGTCCCTTTTTTGGCAAAATCTTCGCGGAAAAATGTATTTTTAGTCAGGAATTCGCCAGAGTTTTCGTGGGGCAACTCCGTTTTCGTTCCTTCTCAGATTTTTAAGCACTCCCCCCCCCTTCCCGCTTGTTACAATGCACCGTCAGAAAAAAATTGAGAGAAATTCCAATTTATGAGACAAACTCAGCAGTTTTGCCGAGAAAATTAATGATTACCCTGGTAAAAATTGGCGATAAGAGCTGCGTTTCAAAATACCTAAGGAATTCTTACAGCCGGCTAAAGAAGGCTACAGAAAATCATATATCTGGCTGTAGAATGCGGAGAAAATCATACGGCCAGGCTGTACGAAGCGATAAAAAATTATGCAGGCGGGCTATAGTTCCTATAGCCGAGCTCTACACTTTATCACCTGGCTGTTGCTTTTTTGCCATTGATTATAAAAGGCTATAAGAAATTGTGTAGAAATTTGTGTGCTTTGGAAATCATTAAGTTTGATACGGAACCACCTTAATATTTACAAAACAAACGTTATATTTTCCTTTAATACATATTTTTTTTCATCAATTGAAACGAGAATAATCCATATAGGATGTGCAAACATTTCAAAATCATGAGTTGAATAACGATGACTCCGCCAGATTAAATATTAGAGCCTAACACAAAACGGAGCGGCGACGCACTGGCGCCTACAAACCTAACAGGGATACTTCACGCATTGCGCAACGCGTGAAGTATCCCTGTTAGGTTTGTAGGCGCCAATGCGCGTTTCGCGCTGGCTGCCCGCCTGCCGCACCGCAGCGTGCCACGGCGCGGCGCTTGAAGCAACTATTTCACACCAGAGATATTGCACAGTATCATACGAAACTGAAGGCGCTTTAACATATTAAGAATGGCAGGCATCTATCAAAAGTACGGAACCTTCCTCGCAAAATAAATCAAGATACTACGGCCCAAAAAGAACGCTTTGGTCCAAAAACTCACTAATTGTAAGTCCTCATCCGTAATTGGTGACGTTTAGCATACACTTTATCGCCTGGCCGTGAGCTGCTCAATCGCCATCGGCTATAAAAGGCTATAAGAACTTGTGTAGCCGGCTATAGAAGCTATTGGAAATCTTACAGCCGGTCGTAGGTCTATGGTATTTTGGAACACAGATTCTACTGCCAATTTTTACCAGGCTATCGATAGCCGATTTTACCCTCAAACAAGTTTCCGAAAATTTCGAGATACAGTGAGAAAAAAGTTCAGCTAGTGATATGAACCAGAGGACGGTGTTCTATATTTGCCGCACTATTCGGTTCATGTAACCGTGCTCTCGGCAGTAGCGATTATGCAATTTGATGTTACTAGTTTTCCTCCATTTAAATCCATTTAAAATATTGATTTTAAATGAGTCAAACTACCTCACCACACCAAAAACCGATTGTTTTACGTTTCTAAACAAGGCGTTTAAAGCTTTTGCGCATTTCTCATAAGTGTATGAGAAACTATGAACGTATTTTTGTTGACTGACAACCTACTTTATACAGTTAAAAAGCATGAGCTGTATCGCAGATCTAATATCTAATATTATTTCACAAGCATCTGGAAAGTTTTAAAAATGGAAAGATTTCCCCTCCCTCAGTCAAGCCATATACGCAACGTTAAAGATCTGGTGAGGCATCAAACAGCCTTTGAGAGGTTCTAAAAGGTCTCAGTAGGCTGTAGTAGATGTTATTCAGCCGTGTAGGGAAATAAAAAGCCCCATTTCAGTGAAGTTATTTCCTCAAACACCTTCTCTTCCATCGCATCACAACCGAGTAGCTATATTGAGGCA